TGCTGGCCACGTGGAAACACACGTTTAAACACACGTGCACACCCGGGGACAGACACGCCATGGAGTGCCCAGTCCCCTCCTCTCGGCCGAACTCGGCCCGGAAACCCCAGGTGCCCCCGAGTCCCACGCACACCTGGCCCTCCCTACACAGCCAGCCGCCTCCCTCAAGCCAACCCCGTGCCACACACAGCTCCCCGCTTGGCTACGGGCCCGACTTCCCACACCCCAGGCCCGACTTCCCCAGGAGCCCTAGGTGCTCGCAGCAGTAGGGGCCCAGACACCCCGAGCCTCAGAGCCCCGCCCCACCCCCGCCTCTGCAGCGGGAAGAACACGGCGAGACAGATGCGCCCGGGAGCTCCCATGACGCACACGAGGCCTCCCGGGGCCCGCACCCAACACACGGGACGACGATCCCCACGCGAGCAGCAGGAAGCGGGGGTGCAGGATGGGGCCGTGCACGGGCCTCCTGCCCCGCTGGGTATTTCATGGAGAACAGGAAGGGGGCCAGATGGGGCAGATGCGCTTCCTGTTTCCGACCGCTGATGCCAGGAGGCTCCTGGGACCTTCATCACGCCCGGGGGGGTGTCGTCTGCAGTGATGTGCCTGCCCCGCCCTCCAGGGGCCTCGTCCCCCTTGGCATTGCTGCTCGGGCAAGGCCCCCGCTCAGAAGGCACCAGAACTCGCTCTGGTCTGTGAGGGCAGGGGAGGGGCCGCAGGGCTCCTGGGACAGTGCCTCTCAGAGCTCTGGGGACATACAAGGGGCCGACGTGGCCCCGGAGCGAACACCACGGGAACCCAAGGCCCCTGGGACTCAGGGAGAGCGGGGTGCGTGCGGGAGGGGGAGGGGGAAAGGGCAGCCGTCGGAACGTGTGTGAAGGAGCCGTGAACGCCCATGGACTGACTGGAAGGTTACATAAACTTGAAAAAAAAAACCAACCACAATAACCAAAAGAAAAGAGAACTTGGTGCTATCGCGTCCCCAGGGAGGGTAAAGGTCTGTGTGAGACAGCAAGGAGTCAGCCCGGAGGGCCAGCCCTAACGGTCCCTGGACAGAGCAAACGTCTGCGTTTAAAAAATGCAGCGGAACTGGTTCCACACGGAGCGTCCGGAGCGATTCGATTCGCATCTCGGTCGTAAAACGGACTGAACACACCCAACCCGGCAGAGCTACGGGGCTCGGTGCCCGCGGGCAGGCGCCCCAGCAGGAGGAACTCCCCCACGGCGCCCGCAAAAGC